TCACAAAATATCACAGCCTGGATACTTAGAAAGCACAGTGTGTGTGTGTGTGTGTGTGTGTGTGTGTGTGTGTGTGTATGTGTTTTGTTTTCATTCTGACTCACAGTTTTGGACATCTAAAGGCATAGCATTGGTGTTTTCTGAGGTCTGATGAGGTAGAGTCAACATGGTGGGATTATATAATGAAAAACTCACTTGGTGAGGAAGCCAAAAGCTTGTATGGGGTCAGCCTCGCTATTTCCTAATCACCCTATTCTAAAGGGAACGGACATACCTGCCTGTCCCTATGAAGGCGATGAGCAAGATATCTGACGACCTCCCACAAGGCCTCCCCTCTAACTAGTGCGTACCAGCCTCCAAGCTTCCAACACAGGCAGCTTCCAGGACACACTCAGCCATGCTAAACCGCAGCACATGGATTTCGTGAGGCAGGCAGTATTGTTTTGAAGGGAACTGAGCTACCTTTCTGCAGGGAGAGCGTGTGGAAAATGTGAGCCCTCTGGCCTCAGTCGGGTTGAGGAAAGGGGGACTTTGCAGCCACATGCTTCATTTTTTAACAGCCACACGCAGATCTTCAAGTGGCAGCCACTGCTCATTGTCCTGATGACTCAGAGCGCTTGCCCTCTCTGCTGTCCTTTCTAATTAAATTCATTGCTCCACAAGATGCCTGTGATTCCCAGAAATGACGCAAGTTCTGTGTGCCCTGTTCAAAGCCTGGACATTTGACTCTCAGGATACTCGCCCATAAATGAGCTGGGCCGTGCCACCCACTGACAAGTCCAGTAAGGCAGGCCCCTTTCTCCTTTCTAACAGAGGGCATGGAACAGCCGTATGCATTTCTTCTTCTAAAATCAAGGCTTACAAAGCCCATCTTGTAAAAATTTAATATCCTTGCCAAAACACATTAAAAAAATTAATTCATTTCACTATGACCCATCAAAATGTGTCACATCTGACCATTCAAAGGGGGAAAAGCAGGCATTTCCCAGACGGTGAGAAGCTGAACAAAGTGTAGACTAAGATGCTTAGACTAAGATACCCTCTGTCTCCCATCCTCAAAGAAACCTCCAGTTCTTTCTCACCGAGGAGACGCAGATCCTTGACCCATATCACAGCAATGAGTTAGAAGCAGCTAACACGTCAGTACCAAGGGACTACACCTGCTAGAGCAGGGTGGGGTGGGGGAGGGGCGGGCAGTGAGCTGGAAGGCCTGGAGAAGTCCACAAGCGGTGACTCAGCATCTGCCAAGCTACTTGAGTTTCTCTTTAAAAGGGACAGCATATGCCAATGGCTGCTTCTGACCGAGGAGAATACCACATTTCCCTCCTTTCTGGTAATGAGGAGCTGGCCCGGGAAGAAAAGCCCAGCTGCCCTTACGGTGGCACCAATAACAGTAAGAATACCTGGAGGTGGATGTAGTACAGTGTTCTTATGAGAGCCTGTGACGAAAGATCCGTTACCCCTGTGGGGGTGTTGTGGGGGGAGTGGGAGGGGAATGGGGGGAGTAACTGAGAATGTAAAGGACACAGGTCCTGAGAAACTTAAATGTCACCAGCCGGCTGTGCTGTTGAGAAACACCTGTGGTGCCTCTCTGGAAACACGCTTCTCACTGTGTAATCCAGGCACCAAAGGAGCAAATTCGTAGGAGGTGATGGGTGGTAGAGGTGGGAGGGTTAGACATGGACCCCCTTGGGGACATTCTATTTCAGTGCATGCGCAGTGCACTTCCCTTGCTTCACGGAAGACCCTCCTTTCCACTGAAGTCACTCCATTGTTTCTCCTGTTCTTAATGGAGCCTTGGGAGATAATAGCGTGATCGACAGGACTGGGGCAGCTTGCTCACGTGATTGCATGTGGGCTGCACGGTGACTCTAAGGGGGAAGGTTATTCCAGCCTTATAAATAGAGGGACTGAAGCGCTGAAAACAAAAAGTTTGCTCAAAATTGCTTATTGGGTAAGTGGCCAAGGGTTCGTGCAGAGCCCGGCAAGTGCCCTGCGTCGGGCAGAGCCCAGCAGGCGCCTTTTACTTCTGTTCCACGTTGGGGCTGGAGAAGTTAAGACAACGCCCCACATATAGCTACCATCTGGCCTGCTCACAGCAGCGCCTGCTCCTCCCTGTCTGGGACTTGCCTTCAGGTGGCTTTAGCTTCCTCACGGCATGAGGCAGGTTCCAAGAGTATGTATTCCAAGAGGTAAATAAAAGGAGAGGCTGCCAGTCTTAGAAATGGACAGGATTCCATGGTATATTTGATTGTTTGTGAAAACATGGAGCTGTTCTAGATTCAAGGAGAGAGAATGTGGACCCTTCTTCTCATACGAACAATGTCAAAGAACTGCCAGTCGTATTTAGCACGCCACAGATCAGGGGTAAGGGCAGAGACTATTGTTGCCATCATACTGTATGGCATATAAATTAGCACCAAAGCTGATCAGCTTCCCAGTGGCTTCGCTTAGCCTTAAACTGCAGCGACTACCCTGTGAGCTTATTGAAGGCCTGGCTCAAGTCCGCCCTGTGCCCCTGGAGTTGGATGTATTAGCCCAAGCACAGCCAAGGCTTCTGTACACTGAAGGAAGCCGAAGGAAGTGCAGTTCTGCTCCTGGCTCCTGTTCTGTTCATTGAAGCATGTCAACCCAGCATAATGTTTTTAGGCTTGACAGTGCACCCTAAGAAAGGCTTTGGGCTACACTGGGATCCAGAACACCTTGTGTAGTCACTGACTAGTTAATAAGGACTTAAGCCTGTGTCCAAGTGGTCTTCTCTGGTAGCTACCCCACAACACTTGGTTATACTGGCTTGTAATCCCAAATACTCAGAAGGCCGAGACAAGATCGAAAACTCCTGTCTACAAAAAGAAAAAAAAAAGAAAGAAAGAAAGGCAGGGGGTGGGGGGAAGAAGAGAGAAAGGGGAAAAGAAGAAGGTCAGCAGCATAAAACGGTTATTATGTGACATTCACTAAATTCTCCAGTGAAGCCAGAGGCAAAAGGAGGCCTCTGGATTGCTCTCTATGGTGTTAGTGGAATTGTCTGCACTACTTTATCCGTATGGTTTTAAGTTCCTTAAGTCAGCAAAGAAAGCAGATAGGATCTGCAGCTTCCTCGAGGCTCATCACCTGAATGCGCCCCTGAGCTTCCCAGGCCCATCACTTCCGCTAATTGGATCGCAAGACTCTGCTGATTTCTTCTCTCTCTCTTTTTTTTTTTCAGTGAAAAATGATTTGATTAGGAAGTGTGTAAGCACATACAAGGAGTGGGAAAATGACAGAGATACAGTATCAGACAGACAACAAACTCACATGCTCAACTCTCTTTCCAGACATATGTTTATCCATTAACATATGTTTAAGCTGAGAATCTATAGATACAGAACTCGTGTCCTGTTAGTGATCCAGCTACAGGTGACGTTTGTGTCTTCGTGGAGCTCACAGCTCAGAAGAGGCTATAGAGGCTATAGAGTCAGGCAATTTATAGCACAGTAGAAAACCTGAATTGCTAATAGAAAACAGAGAGGCCAGCAGCTCAGTCTGTGGATAAATATAACCATCTCAGGAAGGCATCCCGGACAACAAGCTCCATTCTTAAAGTGTGGTACCTGGAGCTGACGCCTGTGCAAACCTTGGGAGACTGCTAGACATATAAAGTCTTCAGCACACATAGACAGACTTGAAATTCTGGATGTGATGCAGAAACTCCTGTTTCATTTTCTTGTCAGGGATTCAGACACCTACTGGAGTTCCCTGAGCCCTGGAGCCTTGGGGCTGCCCGTCATGGCTGATGCCGTGGCCTGGCATCACAGGGTGCTGGTTTACTTGAACTGGAAAAGGGCCTCAGTCTAAGAGTGTTTGAAGTCTGTGGTTAGTATACTGTGACTCGAGGCAGGCTGGAAACACCACTGCGCTGAGGCCTCAAGCTCAAGTTAGGCACTTAGGACTGAGGAGAGGACAACGGGATCTTACAGGCAGTTGTGTGTGTGTGTGTGTGTGTGCCTCCGCCCTTATAAAGGAGCCTGGCACAAACCTTCATGGTATAAATTAAGCTCACAGTGGCAAACGTGAATGTTTATTGCCGTGCTTCTTACACTTGAGTGTAAATAGACCCATCTGAGAGTCTTGTAGAAACGGACACTTATTTAGGGGGTGGGGGCAGAGAGTACATTTCTAATAAGCTCAGGGATGCTCATGCTGTTGGTCGGTGAAACTGCTCGCTGGTATCACCCAGCTTTTCCCATGCATACGTATCAAGAGTAGATGGAGATGGCGCAAGGATATAGTTACCCATCAGCCCCAGGAATCATGGAAAGGCGACTAGTGGCAGTGAGCTGAGGAAACCGGATGCTGGATGGATGGGTACGCTTGGAGGGTAGGGAGGAAAGTTGCAGCCTACACAACCTCCCTGCCAGCTCTTCTGGTTATTAGCCATCAAGGTCGGATGGCTTTTAGCTCAGCAATTCCTCCCCGCCCCCCCCCCCCCCCCCCCCCCCCCCCCCCCCCCCCCCCCCCCCCCCCCCCCCCACTTCCCTCCCAGCGCCAATCTCCCTGAGTGCATTCCGGGCCAGGCCAGCAGACCAGCTCATTAAGTGACCACTGAGCTCTCGGTAAGATGCCAGCCAGCCAGAGAGGCGCTGGCCGAGGACAAGGCCTCTCCTGGGGCCTGAGTCCCTCTTTCCACCTTTCCTGGCCGGGGCCTGCAGCAGTGTTACTCTGCAGCAGCCCCTAGCACTTGGCGCGTACTTCTGGGCGCTGTCCATGGTTGCAGCATCTTTCAGCACACCGCGTCAGGAGGCCACCGCGGGGCTCTGCGATTGGCCGAGGAGCCCCTCGCCACCCCCACCACCAGCCCCGCGTCAGGCCCCCGAGGCGCGTGCCAGCAGGCCTGTGGAGTCCCTGGGCTCCAGAGCGGCACACCCACTTTCCTTATTAGGACAGAGTCGGAGCTCTGCGGTGCGTGGGCTGGGCCAGCAGTCCGGAGGAAGGGAGAAGGGCTCAGTCCCGGCCAGCCCGCCTGGGGAGCGGCTGGTCCCTGAGTCCCAAGGAGCGACCACTTTCTGGAGATTCTGCTTCTGCCTGCCGCTCTCAATCCTCTTGAAGCTCTCCATCCGGACCCCTGGTCCTAGTCCCTTGCGGAGGCATGGAAGAATTTTTGCAACGCGCCAAATCTAAACTGGTAAGTTTCAGGGGTGCGTGTGTTCGTGCGCGTGGATGTGTGCTGCTGGAGGTGGGGAGGAAAGGGTGTGCCGAGGAGGTTGAGGATGAAAACAACTTTGCAGCTTAGTTGTCGGTGTGTGCAAGCTGGGCCAGCAAAGAATCTCTGCAGCTCTCTGGAACCAGCGATCTTTTCCCCCACCCGCAGCCGGGCAAGGTGCAGAGGTGGAGTGAGGCCTGTCTGAACTGATGCGACTTACTGCGCCACACAGTCCCTTCCGCCTGGCCTCACTCCTGAGAGAGTTTGCTCCCCAAGGACAGGGACAGTGGGTGAACGAGGGTGCTCCTCCTCTAGGAGAAAAAAGAGCCCAGCCTTCCTTCCTTTCATAAATGCAAAAGACTTGTAAGCGTGAAAAAGAAAAGAAAACAAAACACCCCCCCCCCAAAAAAAAAAACCGAAGTCCTGGGACAGTAGTTAAGCTGAGAGTGGCAAAGCCCTTGTGAGAACCAGGGTTCTGCCTGGATCGGGGTGGCACCCCTCAGAGGCTGTACAGTGCAGAACTTAGGGGCATCCAGGGTATGCTGACTCTGGTCTCTGCTCTTTCCACACCCTGGAGCAGGGCAGAAGGGGATAGCCTCTGAGGTTGGTGGGCTTCACGTGCTGGTCTGGTATATTTTACTGTCTGAAAATGTAAACAGTGAACTATAATGTCACCGCGTGTCTGCCGTTGCCACCCATTCTGAAAGTCGGGGCACTTTTCTCCAGCATGAAAATAAAAAATCATAACGGAAAGATTTCAGTCTTGGCACTTAAAAAACAAAAGCCAGGTCCATTTAGAAGCTGTATCTTTTATGGAGTCCCAAAGTACCTTTATGGGTCTGGCCTAAGAGAAAATGCATACTCTATGGTGCCCATAACCTTTGAAACTCCCCAAAAGGCAGCACTGAAGTCCGGGAGGTGACGCTTCCACCACAAGGCAGGATGCCATCTATTTCCTGAACACAACAAAGGGCAGGGAGGGCTCTACTCAGGGAAAGGGTGGCAGCGAAGCCATACAGCGCCACATGTAAAAATCCTTTCTTTCTTTTCCTCTTTATTATTTTCTTTTAAAGGGACCACCGAAGTTGATTAATGCTGATATTTTGTTTTCTCCTTTTAATTGGTACCCAACCCAATCCATCAGCATTGAGTGTTTGGGAGAATGTGATTAAATCGAGGAAGTTTCTGATCACTTCTGTGGTTGTTGACTCCTTGGAAGTTTTACAAAAAACATAAGGAAGGGGGGGAAAAAGCAACTTAGTGCAGAAACTCAGTAATTGCCTTGCATCTTTGCTGGAGCTCCCGCTGTTCTTTCCCTAGGAGTGGGAGAAGGTTGCTGGAAACATCAAGTTAATCTTGGCAACTTGTGATCTGGGCCTGTGTGTGTACGTGGATAACGAGGAAGTAAAAACACAGAGTTTGGGACTGCGGCTGTGGCATTTTCTCAGCTTCTAAGGGCAATGCTCAGATTATGGGATCCGCTGGGAGTCTCATTTCTAACAGCAATGCCTGGATAAAAATCCCCCTTCCAGAGTCATCAGCTGAAAGGGATGCGCAGTATATTTACTGAGTCCCTTCATCAGAAGAGCACTTGTTCTCCATCATTAAAAAAGAAGACTGGAAAAAGGAGGTTGCTTGATATTGTTACCAGTTTCCTGCATTAGCCAGAGGAGCAATTAGAGCTAAATTGGTCTTTTCTTAGAACAGGCTTCTGGCTAGAAATCACAATTAACCTTTCTCGCTCAGCTGCCACAAATGTGTTTGGTCACTTTCGGTCATCACACATTTCTCCTAATACACACTTTCAGTAATAAAATTCATGCTTAATATACAATATCCAAGAAGAGACAGAGCTCTTCTTTAGCCGACGGTTTCCTTGGGAAGACAGATCATGCCTGTAAAGCTTGCCATTTGTCTGTGAAAAGCTTATTAAGGGGAAGGCATTTACTGTTCTGATTTTTGTATTAAACCTTTGTTAGAACCGTGGTTAGAAAAGAATTGTGGATAGAACTGTTTTCTCTTCAACATTATTATAAATTGATCGATATGATACCTAAAACTGCCTGGTTGCCAGATTTTCCTCTTGTTTTATTATTTATTTTGATGTGTTGTAAGTGTGATATATAACTTTGAATAGTTGAGGTTCCTTCAGAGATGTGAACATGGGCTGGCTACTTCTAGGAGACAGCAGGGCCTTGAGTTCAAGGCAGCCTGAAAAACTTGGTGAGACCTGATATTGAAGGAGAAAGCAAGTGTGAGGCCCAGGTTCCTTCCTAGGGCTGTAAAGCCAAGCAACAAACAAACCAAATCTCTTTGAAGATTTGTCTGCTTTCCTCTACTAAGAATATTTGTTTCTGTCTGTTCTTGAGAGGGGAATTCATGAGAGTTTTCATTCTAGGGCAGGCCCTGGGTGAGGCTAAAAGGAATGGAGTCAACTGACAGCAAGGACCAAGCCAGGGGTAAGAGCAGCCAGAGGGTCTGCTGTTGGCCTGGATGCTCCGCCCAGCCCTCCATGAAAATGCAGTTGTGTTTCTAGTCTGGCTATCCACCGCTGGATATTGAAATAGGAGTGGGCAGACATTTTCCTTCTCTCAGCCAGTGCTGCCGGCTCTTCCTCCACCTGCCGGTTCAGAATTGAAGCAGAGGCAAAAAACAAATCCTGCAGTTCAGATCAGCCCTTCAGGTTTCCCTTCACTTTCTGTTCTCTTAACCATTTGGATGGTAGTGTCTTGGCCTTTCTTAGATACACGTTCCTGTGTAAGAGAGACCCAAGAAGAAAGGGAAGAAAGGTTGGCCTCCTGCCTATGATCTGGGAAATGTTCTCCAACTTTACACTAGTTCCCTGAGAAAAGTGTTTGATCAAGGACCACTTCATGGAAATAAACTCCAAGTTCCCATGAACTTTGGGGAACAATTGTAACTGAGGGATAACGCAGGGGTGGATCGAAAGGCATGAAGTGGGGCTGGCAAGAAGCCAGTGTCTCCATACTGGGTAGGCTGGTTGCTGAGCCCTTGTACCCCCATATACCACCAGCTGATGCAATTCACGCAGCTGCTGATGGGTGGGGACCACCGCCACCCACACACTGTAATGTGTAGGTCATAAGTCAGCCTTGAAGGGGACACCAGCTGCTGTCGCAGGAATGTTGTTTGTAAGAGAAAGTGAAGAGTCATGATTGCGGTTCAGGGCACACATGTGCCACAACAGTGACAGCTGAGACACTTGACTCCGACGTTTGTGGAAATGCAGATTTCTATAGGAGAAAAAATGCAGGATGAGCTGGGTGTCAGTGTATACTCAGGGATGCATCACACTGGAATGAGAGTTCACAGCCTAAACTCTTCATGAGCAACTGCATCAGAGAGGAGCTCTATGGTGTAGCCAGAAGCAATATATGTATCCTGATTTTTACATTGGAAGGAGATGTGTGTTCACAAAATGGATTTAAATTCTTTATCGTGTGTGTGTGTGTGTGTGTGTGTGTGTGTGTGTGTGTGTAGGTCAGAGGTCTATTGTCAAAAGTTGATCCTCTCCATTCACTATGTGGATCCTAGGGATCAAACTTGGGTTTGTCACCCTCCACCCATTGAGTTATGTCTCGGAACCCTGAGAAGGAATTTTTAAAAGCACTCAGGAAAGGACTGCAATGAGAAGGGGCAGCAGTGGAGGAGAAGCTACAGAACACATTCATCCGGGAGTTGGCGGTATTCTGATCCAGGGCCATAGGATCGGCTCCCCGACCCTATAAGCCAGGCAGGTGCCCTGGAGTTGCTGCCCTGTCTTGATATTTTATGGCAGGGACTCTTCTAGCTCAGGCTAGCATTGAGTTTTTGATTCTCTGCTTTCTAGTCTTTGGGATGTCAGTCACACTCTGCCTTGCCTGACCCCAGCAGTGAGTTTTGCCCAGGGCATGTATGGACAGGAAACTGAGGTTTCCAGAGCCCTTCTGGAGTAAGCGCAGTGGCATCTGCCTGCCTTGCTGAGTGATGACTGATGAGAAACGAGCCTTGGCTAGGTCCAGACTCAGCTGGGTTTCTCACTGTGAGATCATCCGGTCCAGCAGCTGAGAACTGTTTTAGCCTCAGGACCTTTGGAAAAGAACCTGCCCAGAGCGTTTCCAGGTAACCGGATGTCGGAATGTAATGGTCTTTCTCAAAGAAAAGAGGTGCTCACTGTCACTCAGCAGCTCAGGACCTGGAGGACATGTGATCCATGGGCAAGGCGCTTTTCAGTCTGTGGTTTGGGGGATATTTTATGTCACCTCAATAAGAAGCTGGCAGGCTTGGTGTAGTACTGTTTATTTGAGTGGATATTGTGGTTATTTTGAGTTCAGCGCACAAATCTCGGGCATGCTTGCAAGCGATGGTGTCTTAGTGAAGGAAGCCTGTGCTCTCTTGGCATTTCCCCATTCCATGCTAACAGAGAAGAATGAGAATTGGATCGTGGGGATAAATGAAAGCTGTAGAAGAGGAGAAAACACATAAGCAAAGGATGCAGTGCGGCTTTGTTCATTGACTCTTCTTGAACCTGGCCTTACTGGAGAGTCACAGACCTCGTGGTTTTCTTGGAGAACACTGGGAAGGGGCTGGGCTGGAGAGGGGCTCAGGGGGGTGGCATGGACTTTGACATGCATAGCACCTCAGGGTTTGTGCAGAACACAGTCTGCACCGTGACGTGGCTCTCCTTTTGTAGGTATCACAATAACCATTCACAATCTCTGGCGTCTCCACAGATCCATTTCTTTGGGCTTTGGGTTTTGGTCTCCAGAGAGGTGCCATCTTCTTCCTGAGAGACTTAGTGAGGCTAGTGGAGCTCTACATCGTCCTTAAAAGTTAGACCTATATAGTCTGAATTCGAAAAACTTACGTAGTTTTAAACTGGGAAATATATAATGGTATTTACTTTGTGTGTTTGTTGTAAAATCAAAATGAGAAACCCATGGCTCTTAGCACAGAGCTGGAAGCAATGGCTTCTGTCTCCA